AACTGGCCTCTATATAGAACCCCAAAAAAATTAATTAAAAACCCATCTCAGAGCAATAGAACAATTATAAATATTAAGAAGAATGCCTTTTTAAAAAGGTATAATAATAATAATAATAATAATAATAATAATAATAATAATAATAATAATATACTCAATAAATAAGACTTGCTTTGGTCCTAGCAGGCAGAAATTAAAGTAACTGACTATAGAATTTCATACATAAATATAATTTGAAGAGGAAAATAAACCTTCTAACCTTTTCAATATTAATGGCACTGGAGGATTTAGCCAACATTCAACTGATATACTTATCCAATCAATCTTTCCATCAAATAATAAGAAGAAAGCTGAATACAACCAAAGTTAGTTTAAAGTCCTTTTCAAACTTAAAAAAAATCATTGTAAAATAACACGCCCAATGCCAATATATTGAATTTAATCTAATTTGCTTTAAAACCAGCCCAGGGTCAAGAAGGCTGACCCAAAGGAAGGAAGAGCTAACTAATACAACAGTATAATGTCTTTAAAGGAAACTCAAACCACAGCCAAACTGACCAGTGATCAACACTCTATACAGTGGACAATACTTTAGTGACTAGAGTCAGATAAAAAGGCATGCATAACACAGGAATCTTCACCTTTGAAGTGTTCTCTTAGCAAGCAAAAGGTTGGACAGGAAAACAGGATCAAAAAGTCACAGTCTAGGGGGAGAAAATTCACTTTCTTTTAAAATTTGAAGATTCCAATTAGACAATACATTTGATAGCGATCACAATCTACAAAATAAATTTATTAAATCATCCGCACTTTGGATAAACGCCCAGAAAATAGTGACCAATGGTCAAAGTTGAATTATCCCCTTGCTGTGTAGTGGTCAAGTCGACCAAGAGTACAACCAAGAGGGCAACTCAGGGGAATGGTACTCACTCAATGGTTTTTCCATAACACTTAAGAGGTGTGCCCCATGCCCTTTTGTACCAAAACTTTTTCTACTATATGTTTACGTGGCTCTTCACCAAGCTGACCACTTTACTCTAACCTTGCCCTGGATTCTTAACAGTTCAATCTGAGGATCAAAAGAACTTTTTACATGTACAAATAGCTACCTTAATTAACCTGCCAGTCTGACCTACAGATGGTACATCATTATATACATGGGTGAACAACAATACTTATACATACAAGACAAAGTCATACATGGATAATGTTTTGGCAACAATTTTCTTTAACAAATAATGTGCTGTTCCACTTGAAGCCAAATGAGAATTCATTTCATATAAGGTATAGCTCTTTTCCTAAAATTATTGTAAGACCCTTTCCATGGGCAAATGTGAAAACTTGAGCTAAAAGTACTTTTAAATTCATGTTTATGTTTCATGTTTATGTATTATGTTAAATTCATGTTCTTATTCATGTTTTCTCTTGTTTGACAGTTAACTAACATTCTCCAGATTGCACTAATTCTGCTTTACATCACTTATTGTTCATATGTTCATAAATAATGCCAATGGAGGCAATGTGACATGTGCATTACAAATAGCAGGTTTATATAACTTTGCCTCACTGGCCTCATCTAATTGTTTTTGCTGTGTAAACATAAACTGACAAAGTGATCAGACTTAGTTAAGTGCATCTATCAAAACTCATAAAAATATCCAGTCAACAGGAGATCCTAGTGCACAACATTCCTTTCCCATTTCTGTCACAGGGGCCTTTATTGGAGGTTGCTTTCACATTCCTGGCTTGTCACTGCGCCTGCTGGGACTGTCACCCCTCTTTAACTAGCAACGATAATGAGAAAGTACGGCATTTAGACAAACCTTTGATCTCAAAACAAAAGATTTTTTTAACTCTGAAGAAATTCTCTGTGACCATTATGATGGGATTTGTTCACAGCAACTGGATCAATTTTATAGATTTAAAAAATAAAAATCAAGGTGAAGATTGTTAATGATGCAGGTATCACTGGTTATCCCTCAAATACTTCTTTAAAATCATAATTGGCATTAGTGCAGTCATCTCCAGTTGTACTTGACATGTCTTCTCCACAGGAAGACTTGCAAGTGTCACTAAGCCCTGCTTGAATCCACTACAATTCTACCCATGCAATTGTACACATTGACATGCTTGCCCAAATTAACCTTAGTGACAAAAATTTGCTCCACTAGCCATTGGAGGTTTGGCTATAGAAACCCAAAAATGATAGGTCAGGCAAAAGAATCTGGATCCCAAAGTTTAACGAGAGAAACAAAAAGAACAGGAATTGACCATAGCATCCCTACAACCAGAGGGCAACCAGAATAAACATCAACACACACAAACCCTCGCCACAAAATCTCTTCCATAAAGAGCATAACAAGAACCATAGGCTAAACAAAATTACCACAGACCCCCCCCCCCCTTTGAACACCAACAGCATGTATGACAAAAAGGATCTTGTAACAAATGGCTTCATCACAGAAGCACCCAAGACCAGTAACACAACAATAGGAACCCTTAGGCCAACAGCTCACCAACAGATATTCAACGGGGACATTCCTAACAATAATGTAACATCATGTCAATAACAACCCAGTGGGTAAAACAGAAATACGAAGACCAACAGTGTTACAGGATCATCATGAACAGCAACTTTCCATGACAATACCATTAGACATTAGACCCAAAAACTTCACAAAAAGGAACTAAGGAACAACAATTTATAAGAACCCTTGAACCAGTGACTTCACAACAAGAACAATAGGAGCAAATACTAACTGACAAAAGTCTTAAAAACAGACAATTCCCAAAAATAAATAATCCACCATTAAACATACTGGGTGTGTGTGTGTGTGTGTGTGTGTGTGTGTGTGTGTGTGTGAGTGTGTGTGAGTGAGTGAGAGTGTGTGTGTGTGTGTGTGTGTGTGTGTGTGTGTGTATATATATATGCAAATTAAAATTTTCTAATATAATATATGCCAGACGTGTATGCAGGTTGAATAAGCATGTATAATAATGTATGTTGATACCACGGACAAAATAGCAACAGCAAACAAATGCCTCAGCAGGTGAGATGTAGCCCAGTTCTGTAAACAGTATAACCCAGACGAATCAATCACAGCCTACAGAGAAACATGCTCAGCAACATGTTTCCTGCAAAAAACACAAGGCAAATGACCACAAATAACAGGCCTCCAGCATACTGTAAAACATTCAAAGATGTTGTCAATTGCCACCAATTGTGACACATACAAGGTATCAGCTGGTTCTAAGAAAAGAAGCAGTGCAGGTGACAGTGAGGTAGTGTCTCTGGCAGTCAATATATTTTGACTCATGCTGACAGGCAATGTCAGTGTCAATGTCAATCTAGTCAGGCTCTCCAGTTTCATTTTATATTTCAATGATACTTTAATTAAAGTGCTTTTTTACTGAAAAAAGAGCACAGTGGTGTTCATTAATAACATCAGTGACAAAAAATGTTTTCGTTCCACATAATAAGAGATAAAAGTCACAAAAGGCAATTAGTATTTTCTTTATGCGTACCATGACAAAAGGAATGCATCATACCCCCTATCAAATGACACTTTATTGTTTCATTTCAAATGATATATTCCTTTTCTTTTCCAAAAATTTCTGATCCATAACAGCTTTAATGATCAACACACTTCCAAATCTTTATGACACTATATGGCAAAAGCTTTGACCTAGGACAGTGAAAATGGGTTAATTTATAGCCACATACGCCTAGGTTTACAAGGTCATCAAGTTCTGAAAGGCTTTTATCTCCAATATCTCCAAAACTGTTTCGTAGTTTTTTTTAAAAACCATCCAGCTTATCTGTCTGCTTGTCCAATAATATGGTTGAGCTCCTCTTCCGTGCACATTATGTAGGTGAAATGAGACCTCTTCAGTCCTTGGGAGAAATAAACAGACCACTTCTGTACAAGTCCCCCTTCACCATGTCGGCTTTGATCTTCGCCAGATTCTTCATACCTTTAGACATGTCTTCATTACCTAATATTAGTTTAGACAAATTTCAACAGTAAACATTTAGATATCAGTGCACCAATGTTAAAAACCTTCAAATATTTCAGACTGCCTTCAGGTAAACTGACACCCATATCAATTACTACCACATCCACATACTATTTTCTTTTCCAATCAGACAGCATTTAATTGTTTTTTATCGTTATTTTTTTAAAGACGTGCATAAGTTACTTTTAACAATCAAAAGATAACAACTCTTCTTCAATGAAAATATTTCTATTTCATACATAAATAGAAGATTCTCTGCTGCGTCTTCTACCCAAATGTATATGACAAGAAGAGGATTTTACTAAAACAAAATTTGCTGAAATGAAATTCCTCAACTGGTTCACCTCTTAATGTTTTGGATGAAATAAATATTTAGGTACAGCCCACATCATATATTTCTATCTAGAATTGAGGCCATTTGGAAAATTCCAGTCTGCTGATATGTCTGCTGCTTCTGTTTACATTATACACTGCACATAATTCTTATTATCTGTCACTTAGACCGGCTAAAATTGAATTTCCTGGTGGGAGAGAACGTCATTACAAAAATTCTTCATTATCACATCTTGCCTACAAAGTGAATACAGCATGTTTAAAACATTTAAGTGCCATTTATAGATGTTCACATGAAAATGAAAGCTGGAAGCAATGGAACAATCATAGGTGATGTAAAGATAATGTTCATGGTCATTCAAACTAAGACTTCTGAGAACTTGATAAACATCTTCAAGAACCCCTCTACCAATCAGAAAGAACATTAAATCTGATAATCTTAACATACACAAAAGAGAAAAACATAATATACAACAAGATTTTTTCAGAACAAAGTCTTCTCAAGTAAGATTAAAGAGTTTTCTTCTTGGAAAAAAAACTAAAGTACTCTCAACAAATCCCACAATCTTGAGGTACTAAAATGACTTAGACCTTTAAACACAGACATAAAGATAAAATGAAGGGAAGACCCAGTGTTTCCCCCCACTTACCAGTGGTGGGAGCTGTGGCGGAAAGGCTGGGAACCAATAGGCATGCCATGGCAATGTGGTGCCAATGACCAACCCAGTGAAAAGCTCTAAGTTCCAGAACAGGATTCAGATACATACACAGGTAACTTAAACAGGTTCAAGGGGAAAACAAATATGCTGCTGGTAAAAGGTGAGACTTGAAATGGAGACAGAGTCTTGCTGGAGTTTCTGAAACAGAACAGTACAAGAATAAACTTGAGGGTGAAAACTTGCCAACTCTGGTACCTTTGCTAATTCTGATCAATTGCTCTCCTATAAGTGCTTTCTTCTTTTCAAAGCACAGCCACTTTTTCCACCATCTCATTTTTATTTTATGTAATTGCTGAATACTTAGACAAGTAATCAGCAATTACATTGTAGTGATTCATAGCAAAAATACAGGTAAAAATAATTCCATGCACTGCTCTACAGTTCAGTTGAATCCTTGCCTTAACGTCATCATATCTACGTAATACTTGGTAGGTATAAGATGGATCACCACCACCTTCATTGTCCGTCATCTGTATGAGAGCCCTATAAGCAGGCAATATAATCCATCGCCCTCTTCACATTGTCAGTAAAACACTACAAATACAGGAACTATGGAATTTCATCAAAAACAAAACAAATCCCCTTTATTTTCCATTAGGATCTAAATGGCTTGTTCTGTTTATGTTGAGGTATCAGTGGCACTGCTATCAGTTGTCTTAATGTGTCAACACCGGCACAGAATGACCAGCAATGTTATCTGTGCGTCTTAAACTTGTCAGCAGAGCCCTAAACTTGTCATCACAACATACATTAAACTGAGAAAATGCTGCTTTAAATGTGCTATCCCGTTTCTCACATTGGAACAGAGAGATAAGCTACCAGTACTACTACTTTTATCCTACTCCAATGTAGGAAGCAGCACCCAGAAAGAAAAGGGAAAGCAATGAATGGACAGACAAGTCAAAAGGAAAAAGCTGAATATTTAGTAATCAATTTGATATTTGTTCCTACCAGTCATTACTAATAATCAAAACATTCGGTCTTGATGAGTACACAAGTCTGGACAAAACAGCCTTTCAAAAACACATAAAATAGGTACCTTTATAGAAAGTTTAAGGGGAAGAGATTAAACTAATTCTTCAGTATACCCCCTATGGAAAGTCATGAGGATAAGGAAGGAGGTGAGGGAGATTACACCTGGAAATGTTGTATTACAGCACAGGAAAAGACACAGAGGTGGCACACCTTATAAAAACATCCTTTTAACCTTCAACACCTCAACCTTGCTAGTTCAGGCTTTAGTAGTGGCCCAGCAAAGACAGCATGGTTGCAACAAGCAGCTACTGGAGTACCCCCGTGGGGGCAGAGGGTGATGACTGAAGACTTGTTTCCACATGAAACAGTTCAAACCAGGATGGACTTACAGAAGAGATTAAGTTAAAGTATACAGACAAGTGCAAAAGAAAAATCAATTCCAATCCAGCCACATGACATATATTGAACATCATACAATAATGTTCAAAACAGTTGGCTCCAAATGATCCTGAAATGATGTTTTCCTCCTAATTCTGTAAACAACACAGCGATGCAGTATTAATATCTGTAACAATGTGTGTAAGCTTGTTAGGAAGCACACGCACAACACCTGTCCGTAATCAACAGGTATTTTTATTACCCAGAGCTTATGTAACAAAAATAGCCCACACTTGAACACGGCTGTCCAATTAACACATTGCCAGCAGCAGCCAAATGTTAATAAACCAACCAGACTTTATGAAGGTGAAATAATATGGGCTCTTCATTATCCAAAACAAAAGGATGTTTTCTTCATCAGAACATGTTTTGATTATGTAAATGCTTTAGTACATCTGAGCCTTGCAGGGAAGAAAAGGCTTACTTGTATCTGGACATGTACATGTTTGTCTTGTTTATGGTATGAAACACTTAATTTTCCATTAAATTCCACTCTCTTCATAAACTAACTGAAATGTTATCAGTTCACCCTCTTTTTCTGCACCTATCACAAGAAACTACTTACTTATTAACAATAAGATGATTTTCTGACATTATCAAGAGCAACCAAATCATACTACGGTTCAGTAATAGAAAGATCAGTATGCTTGCTGCCTTTTTTCCTCGAAATATTCCTCAGCACATTGCAAAAACAAAAACAAACAAAAAATACCAAAAAAAATGCCCAAGACTGTCTGCTGTATCTTATCTGATACCATAAACATGCAAAATATTCCCACAGTGGGCTGGGCATTCATCAGTTCTGACACATAGGATTAAACAAGGAGGCACTTTTGTTATGTTGACATTAAAGAATGTTCATTTTCATTTGTCTTCCAATATTCCAGATTGTACCACTTAGCCCATAACTATGTACTTACACAAGATTTTTTTTTTTTTTTTTTTTTTTTTTGGCAATCATTTAGCAGTTTTGAGCAAAATCTATGATATAAGCCAAACAAATCATATTAGTAACAGAGCCTTGCCACTGCCTGATGAAAAGCATTTGTAGGTGCAAACAAGTTTTTCAAAATCCAAAATATTCTTCAGGTGCCCCCCCCCCTCATATACCATATAATAGCTATATCTTTACCTAGTCCTTCTAAGAAACCAGTCTCCATATCTGATAACCTGTGGTTTTCCATTGTTTTCATGACAGGAAATCTGCAACAATGTGCCAATAGGCACATCAATACCTCTCAATTAGTTCAGAACATGTTATGGGGCAAATTCACCTTTATTTCCTGTGTTTTCATCATATTTACTTAATTTGTTGTTTTTTTTCCCTGTTTATATTATTTTCCCTTTTATTACTTTTTCTCTCTATTTGGTTTTTCATTTTCAAGTCAAAAATGCATTAAATCTGGCAAAGGCATCAACACCAACATTCACCACTTATTGCAACAATCTAGAAAAGTGTATTAATAGAGACAAGAGAAATGCAGACAACTGGGTGTTTGGTGAATAGCTCAAAAAACACTGCTGGGTCTACAATACCAGTCACAAGACACCAAGTGCAAACTGTTTGTCAGCAAGAGGACATGGGCATTAAGGAGCAAGCCTTACTGATTCAGCATTACACAATGGCTGCTCCTATCACCCTGGTGTTCCATTACAGACCTTCCAAACTTTTAATGAATGGCACTTGTTTCACATGTGCCTTATTCATCCATCATTTCCTACCAGAGAAAACTTTAATGATTTCAGACACCAATTTATCCTGCCTCTTTTACACTAAATAAGCCCTGGTGCCAAAAAAACTTTTTAAAACTTTTTTTTGGTGTGACCTGGAGACGGGATTTGGAACATAAATCAGTGGTAACAGTGCATCCCAGCTACGTGACCATATCTCACACAGAGACGAACAGGCCGTTACATTGTGACTACATTCTGATACAAGAAGGTGGGCGAAAAGTTTTACCACATGTTTTACCTTTTAATTGACAAAGACACTTCTATTTCAACATCATGCCAAATTCTGCCAGAGACCCAAGTTATAATTCTGATGAAGTGCGTCACATGGTGACATTATGCACTACACTCTTCCTATAAAAACCCCAACCCATCACGCACCCTTCTCAACTTAACCAAGCAGAATAGTTCAAAACAGTTCCGAATAATTGTAACTGCAGGGTATGCTCTGTGCAGTTGACATAATAATCAATGCAAAAAAAAAAAAAAAAATCACCCAAAAAGTCTTTCGAGCTATCAAATGGATAAGAAAGTCTGCTGATAATGAGGTAGATTGGGTGCTTGTTGTCTGCGCATCACACATCATCTCCATAGTCTACATCATTCAAAATCATAGATGCAATCACCCAGAGGTTGGTTAAAGTGGAATTAAACACAAATAGAGGAGTAGAGGCAAGAAATTAAAGGTACATTAGTGAGCAGCAGGTAGAGGCCAGAGCTATACTCAACCAACAGGTGGACTGGCAACCCAGGAATGTTACTACTCTAGATTATCACCATTCTATATCCTTGACAGAGGCTGAGAGGTGCAAAATTTGGCTTTATTGGACATCGGTCAGTCTTTGGTCAACTGTCTGATCTGACTACGCCATCAAACTGGCCATGGGACATATTGTAATTCCATGGTAGAGCACTGTCATAGTACCCCTGGGTTAATACTGCCCAACTGGGAGCCAACTTTCAGCTTGTCTTAAATAAACAAACTTAGCAAATTGGAAAGCAGGGATGTTATTACAACATCGGAAAGATAGAGGTGAAATTGAAAATCGCCTTTTGTCTGACGGTGTACAAGTTGCACTTTGCATTTACAGTTTTTCTTGGGCAGGTGCTATCGTATTTCACCATCTATGGTTTACATTACTTCATTTGTCAGTTAAACACATTTTACAATGAGCTCTATTGTGTTTTATTCTCAAAACTAGTGAAACAATCGTGAAAAATGTGTTTAAATATCCAAAAATGCATTAGGGTAATGTTGTACCATAATTAACGCTATTGCCTCCCTATGGATAAGAAGCCACAGCAATCAAGTCAGCCTTAGTATATCTCACTCTGCTTTATTTATGCAGCCAAAGAAGTCTTCTTTCAATAAATCTATAACCACCTTCGCACATATACAATGTGAAAAGGGCAGTTTCCTCATTAAGTGTATATTCTGGCGTTTTAGATAAGAAAACTGGCATTCTCTTTATTCTGCAAGAATCACAGTTACTGACAACAATTTTTACACATTTAAACAAGAAAGGGCTCCAAACAATAAAAACAAAATACGCATTTCGTCAAATATGGATATGGCTCCATATGAATAAAATTGAGAAGTATTAAAAGAATTAAGTCCTAGTAAACATTTCACTGAACCTCGGGAGTCTCTGACACCCCAGTAAAATCATCCTCCCCCTCCCCAAGCCATCTTCAGTCTACTTCACTCCTCCCTTTTTGTCACAGCTCTCCATAAATCTCCGCCATCTCCCCACCCAACCCCTGGTGGACACATTACAGCAATGGCCAATAGTGGTCACGTGGAGAAGTGTGCCACTGATTACAAATCTTGTCTGTATGCTACTGGTGGCTTCCTCAAGTGTGCCCTTGATTAAGGAATGTTTGAATTTCAATCCAGCCACTGTCAAAGCACTACTGTTTTGAAGTGCATCAATCTATCAGCTATCACTGGCAGGTGCTGAGGGTTCCTGTCTGTTTACTTTGCACTCATATCTAGCTATAGATCTATAATTTCGCTGAATCCATAACCAACACAGCCTTGGGTTTCAGATAAGGTTTGGAAGAGCCCTGGAACATGGGTGCCTTATATAAAAATCCAAATCCAATTCATTCAAACAATTTGC